GTGGACTGGGACCTAACTAGATACTGGACCACATAATGACATTATTATGACATGACATAACGGAAATAACCTATAAATAATCAAGTATTTTACAAAAATTGTTATTTTTTTAGTAGTTGAATTATTTAATGTTAAATGTAAATGGAATATAAATTAAATCGAAAAAAAAGTAATATTATAATGGAAGATTCTTCAGATTTTATACCTTCCAGAGCATCGGCCTTAAAGACAAAAATAAATTTTGAAACCATATTTTATGAATCATACAAACCCAAAAAATCTCAGAAACTATTAACAAAACAGGAGATACCATTCAGAGATGAAAATAAAGAGAAGGAATTAAATATTAAACAGGCCAAAAATGAGATAATTAAATTAGCAATGTCAGGATTAGATCCAGAACAAAAAGAAAAGGCAAAAATTAATTTGTTGATAAAACTAGGTAAATTTAATTCTTCCTGTATAGTATATTTGTGTATTGCTTATTTCAGATATATTTGTAAATGCTTTAAGGAATTACACTAAGCTTTCAAGAAACCAATAAATATGTTCCTCTAAAATGAAACCATGAGTTATTGAAATAATTGAATTTGGACTCTAAAGCAAATTGTTACAGTAGGGACAGAAGTTAGAAAGGCTTTTGGTAGACAGAGAGGTGGTAAACATCAAACCTCGTCAGTCGGCTTCTAGTATTTCGGGGTAATGTTTGTTTGCCATAGAATAAAAATAATACCAAATATTTTAAATTATTACCGACGGAATCGGGCAAACGTATCTATTTATGGGCTGCAAATAATTATTTAAAGAAGTAATAATATGCCAAATCATAATTCTTCAAAATTTCAACAGCTATTCACAAATGAATTGGTGAGTTCAAAAACTGTACATGTCCAAAATCAGCCTTCCGAGAAAAACAATAAAAACGTTTTCATGAGTCATAAATATGTACGGGTTTTCGCCTAATTTCACGAGTATAATCAGCTGTACAATGTTAATGGATAGGTATCTAGTACGTTTTTTAAGCTCAATCGATGAAGAGACAAATTTTAAACAAAATGGCTCTTACTTTAAAATGTCAAATTTTGGACTGGTTTTTGAACTCAATTTATTAAACTATTTACATAAAATTTTTATTAGCACCTACAAAATAATTTGGTGGGAGAACTGGCCAAAGCCTTTCCAAGTTCTCTCCCTGCTATATACAGTTTCAAGTCATCAAGCACTCAAGATTAGGACAAATTTTTTCATTGTCCTGATATATATTTATATATAATATTTCGATGTGCATGTGTTCATAATTCTTCTCCTAAACGGCTTGACCAAATTTGATTTTTTTTTAACTTAGTGGGTCACCTGTATGGTTGTTAGCTATAGTTGGTGACGTTGTTGAGAACAAGTCCTGTGACAGGACTACATCTGCATACTGTCCACTAGTTGTATATGAAATCTAAATACTAATATTTGATAGTAAATAAAGGATTATGTATAATAAATAGGCAAATAATCTAAATAGATGGTTTAAATATATAAATCAAGCCACTTAACAAAATACACGAAATAAATTAGAAAATAATTACCATTGGAAGCAAAAATCTATCAAACTAATTGATAAAGATGGAAGTAATAAATAAAGAAGTGATACTAAGAAGAAGTAACACTTGAAGAGAAAATAAATGTTGGACAAAATATAAAACTCCACATATTTACCTACCATTTTCATGATAAAAGTAATTTTTATTGTAATGGTACATAGGATAAAACAGCTCTAACAAAACTGATAAGATTTCACCTGTCACAATTTACTGAAGACTTTCTTAATAGCTATAAATCTTTTTTTTTTTTTAATTATTTTCATGATTTTATGAGAAAAGTGATCAATCAATTCCATAAGTACTTGTGTAAAAATCTAATGTAGAGCATAAACCTGTTTTTTTTCAGAAAGAGTCCAGTAAAGTTCTTTACAATTCTTTGACTTAATTGATCTTTTGTTTAATCATTGTCACTCTATGATGTCATTTCTTCAATAACTGTTTTTCCTTCGTTTTTGACATATTACACAATGATATTACTCATTTGCTACAACAAACAAGATTTTTGTTTCTTTTTTAAAATTATGATCAACACTTAATATTTAAGTCATTTTAGATTTTAAAATATATTTCTAAAGGTAGAAAACATTTTAGTTAAATAATCATTTAGTAATCAATTCTATAAAACTATAAGAAATAGATGTTAAGTAGGTATCAATTTAAATTTTATTTTTAAGATTTCGTCTAAAATCGCACCATTTCAATAAAAATAATTTAGTTGCATACCTTTGCTACTTTTTTTTACTACCTTCAAACAATTCAATTTTAAATATTAAAGACATTCTTTGGTTTATTTCATGACTAAAAAGTGCTATGTTCAATAGTTTCACAAACGCTTCGTTACCATTCTACAGGATTTTGAAATTTTAGATTTTTTTGTTTTTCTTTATAGCTTCTGTAGTTTCGTTGTGGTTATTATATAGGTTTTTTTTGTATAGTAATAAATAATTGCTACAAATACCGTGAAATCGGTTTTAATTTTTAACAAGCATTCACGAATAAACTAAAACTTTCATTTAGTGAATAACAGAAAATTGTTTTCTTTTTTATTCTCGATTATGGTCGTAGATTTGGAAAAAAACTATAAGAACCAAAAAGTTTCTAAACAAAATAGCAAATTCATTTTGTTTTCGAATCTACCAGCGACACACTGCAAAAAAGTTCGGCGGAAGAAAAGTGAACTGAATTATCAAAATCTGCAGGCGTTATAAAAAAAAAACTAAAAATCTCAACACCCTGTAGATACGTAACGAAGCGTTTGGACCTATGTTTATATGACATTTTAGTCATGAAATTAACCAAAGAATTATACTTTCCTTATGTAAATAGTTAAAAACACCCTATATAATTAAAAAAAAAACTTATGTTAAAATCAACGTTGTTTTTGTTAGTACAGCACATCTGGAACGACATCTGCGCAAAATAATAGAGTTTCTGTTAAAGATGAAACCAAATTTTGTTTCTGACTGTTCAATGTAAAAATCCGAAAATATTTTTGTACTCAAGTTACCAAATTGGTGCTATCATTTTGAAATGTTTAAACGCATTTTCCAAATTTAGGTATTCAATAAAAAACACCAGATTTCATGTGTAAACAATGACCCTTTTCTGCATTGTAAAATTCAAATTTTTTCTCAGGTGCAAAACCACCAAAAAATAAAAACAAGAATTATAAACAGCTGCAAATGGAGAAAAAAAAAGTTAAAGAAGAAGAAACAAAAAAAGAGAAGTTTCTTCTTCTGGGTAAAAATACACATGGAAAATCTACAGCAAAGGGAAAAAGTTTTGATAGAAAAAGAAGAAAGGAGAAAGGAAATATTTTATCAATTTATGGAACAGTTAAGGTATTTTTTTTTTATTTTTAGCTCCGTGTGTTTCATTATGATTAAATTATGAAAAAATAAATTGTATGATTTATTGTTTCAGCAAACTTCAAAGGGAAACAAAGAGAAGTCTTCATTGTCTACATTGAAGAAATTTAAATAATTTGTATTAATTTTACTATGTAAATAAATATCAATAAAATGAATTTTCTCATACTTAACTATTTACTTTATAAATGTATAGATAAATTACTAATTTAAAAATCTGATGTGTCCAACACATGACTTTCATGTCTAGTTATTGTATCACCCGTGTAATCGTTTAGAAGATGAACTCTCCCCCAGATGTTCCGACTATGTAGGATGGATTAAAGCTTAAATTTAAAATTTGGTGTTTTTCTCTTTATCCATTATTGAGTTTTTCAAAATACGAAATTTGCACTTTTTCTCCAATATCTTGAATACGATCTATTTAGAGAAATTATGTATAGTATAAGAATTATCACAAACAACTTTTAATAATTTTCTTAAAATTTGAATTCAATTTTTTTTGTCAAATTTCTCGAATGCGGACCATTTTAGGAAAATTATATATAGGATAAAAATTATAAGGAATAATATTACAAGCAACTTTTATTCGAAGAAATTTCTTCTCCAAGCATAAATAACAGATATATTCCATAAAGTAAAAAAAAATATCTATAAAGTACCCCCCAGATGTTCCGACTATGCCCAAATCTAATCGGTTCACCACAGGATGGATTAAAGTTTAAGTATAAAATATGGTGTACAGACACACACATCGTGAAAATAGTCAAAACAGATTTAGGGGACGTAAACCTAAAAGTCTGTTGAAAAAAAAAATCATGAGTCCTATACTTTCCTTATCTGTATACAGATAAGCAAAATAGTTCATGATGAGCTTTTTGATTATTAAAAAGACAGGTTTATGTAGCCTCAGAACTATCTTTTCTCTATTTCCCAGATATTAGACTTGATTTTGTGTCGATTTAACATAAATCCTAAAGTGCTAGATAAGAACATACATTAAAAATGGCAACTCAAAAGTTTAAACTTTGCACAATGACGAATATAATGACTAATTGACCACTGTAAATTTGTTGGAGCTGAAGTGGAGTCCAGCAGACATTTTCATTTATAATTTTTCATCTTCAGTAACATTTTCTGTGGTAAAAAATCATAATTCAATTTTTGAAGATTTGATGAGTTCATTTGTAAACTGTAAGGTACCTTCTAAGAATAATTTACTATTGTTTCAAATTGCTGTGACACACATACTGTTTTCGAGAAAATCTAATTTGAACTTTTTGCATTTTTTGTGATTAAGAAATTAATTTCTTATAATACCAACAAAATTTAATAGAGGTAAACTGGAAATTGTTTTAAAGTCGACAATTAGTATTATTAGATGTGTAAAAAATTGACTTAAAGGCACCAACTTTAATGAGCTCTAGCTGCCCATTGAAGCATTTTCGGATTAATATAATTTAGGTTAAATCAACATAAAATTAAGTCTAATATCTGGGGTTTCCAGTTGGCAGGAGTATTCTGAAACGCTGACTTGAAGGCAGCAACTTTATAGAGCTTATTTAAAAAAATAAGATTTCTGGACCATAATTAAAGTTCTTAGTCTTTATCAAATAATTCATATTCTCCAATTCCTGCTAAAAATTTTATTTATTGGGAAGTTAGCACGATTTGTTACCAATTTTTAAGTGAAAGCAAATTTTAATCAAACTACCCAATATCTGGAGGTTTCCATTTGGCAGGACACCATGTATAATAGATTCTTTTATATTTTAGTAATTAAAAAATACATAATTGTCTTATAATACTCAAAAATCATATAAACTCTATTTAGGTACCCTAACATTGGTATTATAGCAGGGGCAAAAGTTGGTATGTAGAGAGGGGGTCAAACCACGTCAGACAACTTCGGGAATTTCACAGTAATGTTTACCTGCCAGTGTCGTTTTATAGAATAAGTAATTTTAAATTGTTACCAGCGGAACCAGACAATCGCATGTACTTATCAACTATAAATAATTATTAAACATGTATTATAATATCCAAATCATAATTCTACAAAATTTCAACAGCTATTTACAATTTATTAAACTATTTACTCAATATTGTTATTAACATCTATAAAATAATTTTGTACACCAATGTATCACGTCCACTTCGGTTAGATCCGCCGCAAACCTGTCAATTTATGTGTAGAGTCTTTCCAACTTCTGCCCCTGCTATAACCATAGTCATTAGTATATCAAATAAGATAAAAATCTATTTATGAACCTTTTATTACTAAACTACTTAAATACTCTTGTTTACTTAGTCTATAAATATCTTCATTTACACAGCTGTACCCCTTTCTAAGTTCTGTTTAATCTCTGCTGTATGTTCACCATAATATCTATCCATTTTCTTATTAAATTTAGCATTTCTTTCATTAATGTAATCAATGTCAGCATCATCATTATGTGTTCTTCTTCTAGAATATTTACTTCTTTTGGATATTTGATCTTCCACACTTTTAACAAGGCCATCAATGGCCTCAGGTCTATCTTGGTGAAGTCCATGGACTATTGTATTTGGTCCTGCATAGAAAGCATCTCCATATTTTTGCCTTTGATCTTCATATCTCTCCATGTCTTTCGGTGCCATAGTTTTTATTAATCTGTTATATTGTCGAACAGAGGCAGCTTCGTAATCGGAGAAACCTTCATCTGGATTTTTCTTTTTCTTCATTTTGTCAAATCTCTCTGCTTCAACTGCTGATACATTTAAAAGTTTAAGTCGATCATAATCTTTTCCATCTTGTAAAGCTTGTTCCCTTTCGTTTTGATCGTTTAACATCCATTCGGCCCGTCGTTTTCTACTTTCCCAATTGCTTGGTAACTTGTTTCTTGCATCTTCAGCAACTACTTCATGATGATTGTGTGTTCGAGCTTCATTTCTTAATCTGTGAAGATCTCTTAATTTTTTCATACGTTCTGCCTGCTTGTCTGCAAATAATTTGTTATTATCCGCACCCACAGTGTCTTTTTCATTATTTTCACTCATTTTACGTTGTTGTGAATGAAGTGATAAAAACATGTACACAAAAGACAGTTGACGTGGCACGTGACATTGACAAGATTACAAGATGAGAGAGGGGAGAGCGTATGGTCCGTTATTAACCGAAATAACGGTTACTCGGTCCAAAACTGACATTCCTGAAAAATCTGTTAAATTAAGGACGTGGTTACCTGAAAATGGTGACTCAAACGTCAATTCACTAACCGCTATATTTTTACGATTACTATATGCACGGTTTTAAAGATTAATCCAGATTTGCAAATCTCGTTTAAATGACTAGCCGTTATTTTCTATGCACCGGCTACGGATTAGATACACAGAACACTTACTCATTAGATAATCGAGTTTGGTAATCTGACAATACTGAATTTTTGTAAATTTCACAAAAAAGAGAAGAAGAAAACTATAAACAGAACTTTTAGGCCCGTATTTATAAACAGAACTTACGTGAGTCGGACTTGGGTAAGTCGTCCTTGAACTAAAATCGAAGTTCGGTTACAACGTCTCTAAAGTTCTAGGTGGTTCTGGTGTTTGACTGGAATTTAGAGATGGATATTAGCAAATATGTAACTGTTATGTACATTTACGGATTTGTTACTGCCCATCTCTAAATACACGCGATATAACCGAACTTCGATTTTCGTTCAAGGACGACTTACCCAAGTCCGACTCAGCTGAGTTTTGTTTATAAATACGGGCCTTACTTCGGACTTGGGTAAATCGTCCTTGAACAAAAATCGAAGTTCGATTATATCGCGTGAATTTAGAGATGGGAAGTAACAAATCCATAAATGTATTTAACAGTTCCAGATTTGCTAATATCCATCTCTAAATTCCAGTGTAACACCGGAACCACCTAGAACTTTAGAGACGTTTTAATCGAACTTCGATTTTAGTTCAAGGACGACTCAGCTGAGTTTTGTTTATAAATACGGACGTAAGTGATCTGCACAGAAGTGATCTGTGACTGTGATACGGACCTAAAAACGTTGTATGGTAAAAGCACATACTCTGATTTTCTCTTACTATACGGCGAATGGTCGCACTGCGCAGCTTTATGAGTGCCTTTTAAAAGGAGATAGAAAACTCCGCCATTTTAATGCCTTATTACGTGTTGCCTACATCTTAACGCAATATTTTTAATATTTTGCTTGCTGCTGTCAGTGTCACAGAATATTATTTTTGGATTCACAGTTTATTGCTAAAGAATCAGTTAGCTCACTCGGACAAGTTGAAAGTTCCTAAATAACATCCACTCCAGGAGCGCGTTCAGATGACTTTACACGGGAGTAGACTAATTTTCTTAGATTGTTTGCCCAGACTACTCTAGAGTAATTCTCATTGGCTCAAAATTTCTGAACGGCAACGAGAGTAAACGTCAACGAATTTAAAAATTATAGATTTTTACAGTTATTTGTTTAAAGACATTTTATTCCTTTATATAATGTTTGATGTTCCTCGCTTCCTGTTGTTATTATTACTCGTGTCACGTATAGTTTTACCTTTTACTCATTTAATTTTTTTAGCTGTTTTTCTTTCTTTTTATTTCAATATATACCTATTCACAGCCCTATTTATAATCGAGATTGTAATGAATGATCTATAAAGTCAATGGATGCGTTCATCCGCGCCACATGCTACCTGATCGATCTGGTAGCGCTCTCGAGTGGCACGTATGAACGGTGTATTTTGACATTTCGCTCAAGGAGCGGCCGCCATTAAAAGTAGCGCATTTTATTTACGTCTGATCGGTGATCACTGATCTGTCTTACGCACTTACGTCCACGGTTTGATTGGTGACTAGTAGGGTTATATTAGCATATTAGCAATTGAAAAATAAACAAACAAATCTTCAACCAGAGACATTCAACTCAAAAGTAAAATGAATAAACCAAAATCAAATGTCACTTTTAAACATGGTTCATCCGTGCATAAAGATCGATCAGGTAGCGTAAGTGATCGCTACTTTTGTAGCGCTCCTTGAAATGGCGCGGATGAACGCAGCCAATAAGACAAGAAATTTTAGATTATTTATTTTAAAACAAATTTAACCTTATAAAATTCCTTTATGACACACAAAAATAATATAAAACAACAACTTCTGCAAAAGAACTTTACGTTCTGTCAAATTTACTCAAATTAACCCAGTCCAAACTGGGTATAAAAGAGTGCACTCTAGACTAATTTGACTCGACTTTCTGAACGAGAGTAGCTAAATGTCCAAATTGAACGCTCTACTGTTCCTGAACGAACCAAGAGCAAATTGAGCACGCTCTTTTTGGTCGGTGCGTGTTTCCTGAACGCGCTCCAGGGGTAGTATTATCGAGTCACGAATATAGATTCGCATGCGAGATTTATGATTTGTCTCACTTGGTTTTCGTTCAACAAAGTGAGACACATTGTAAAACACGTATGCGAATGTCGGTATTCGTGATTCGAGAATACTACCCCAGGGGGTCGATTCTCGACTCGTAGGAATATTTTCCTACAGGAATTTTTGACATTTTTATATACATCGAAAATTTATGACATTTTCCTACATATAGGAAAGTGTCACAAATTCCTATAGGAAAAGGTTCCTACAAGTCGAGAATCGACCCCCTGGGGTTTAAATAGGGTTTAAAAATACTGTTAGAAATTTAATGAGAGATAAAAATATTTAATAATTTTTCGAGAGATTAAATAGTATTATAAATTGTTAAAATCGTGTTCAAAAATTGCTAGAGGGATAAAATACTATTGAAAAATTTGTTGAAAAATTAAATATTGCTCAAAATTGACTCAAGAGATACCTACTATTAGAAATTTCTCGAGAGATAAAACATTGTTTAAAAATTCCTTGAACGATAATATACTATTAAAAAATGCTTGAGAGATAAAATATTGTACAAACATTGCTCGAGATATAAAACATTGTTAAAAATTTATCGTTAAAATATTTTTATAAATTTGTCGAGAGTTAAAATATTGTTCAGTTTGCTAAAGATATAAAAAAATACGTGCGACACTCGGGGACTGCCGCGGTAAAGCTATTGCATAGCATTTTTATCAACTTATGCAATTATAATTATTTATTTATTTTATTTATGCAGTATTTTTTTCTGTGATATTAATTCAAGTTTTTTCTCTGATATTAATTCAAGTTACACTTTTTGAGCGTGGTGACCGATAAGAAAACAATTTTTTCTTTTATTGAATAAATGAGAAGTTAATATTGTTTAAAATATTTTTAATTTCTTACAATACATGTAGGTTATTCGGTTATTTTTATTATTGACACAATATTTTTATTTTATTATTTCACAGTCTTGGTAATTTAAAATGTTTAGTTTTTAAAAAGTATATACTTATTCAGTGATTTTCCACACTCGTGTGAGTCGCACTCGGCTTGTGCCTCGTGCGACAATATTTCCCACTCGTATGAGAAATGTCACTTTCCACACTTGTAATGTAATATACTATTCCTATTTTTTTGAATTTAAATAAACGAAGTCTCCACTGGTAGCTTGCATTTTTAAAATTAGCTGAACTTAAATGAACGTCGTTATGCACCACTATGCATTGAATAAGTATATACTTTTTAAAAACTAAACATTTTAAATTACTAAGACTGTGAAATAATAAAACAATATTTTTCTTTTTTTTTAAGAACAAAAAAAAAAAAAAAACTAAAAGTTTCAGGGCTTGAACCACCAACTTGCTATCCCACTATCCAAATTATGACCATCGTACGCTTTGCGCCACCAAGCACATATTCATAGACTTTTGAAATCGCTTATAATAAAATATAATATAAATAAATTTATTACAAATATTTACGAAAAATTTTATCATATCAAATAAATATTGTAATTTAATGGAATCACATAAATATATAATTTAAAAACTATAAAAGTATCATTATTACTTAATTGTATTAATGTTTAATCTTGAGAGATTAAAAGTTTAAACATAAGTCATCTAATAAATGCATTTTTTTTATTATACTCCGAAATATGAATTTAAAATCTCTTTCTATAGTAAATAAGACTTAGTTTTATGTTGGCTAGCCAACACAGGTATACCTGCTTTTCCATCCAAATGATTTCAAATTACAAAATTTCAAAGTACATCAAACACTTAATGAAATTTGTGCTAGCTCTCCACTATAATATTTACGCCAGCCGGGAACATTTGTGATACCAATTTATTAGAAGCTCTTCTAGTTCTTGTATTGCATAAATGTTCCAGTCCGCAGACGTATATTTAACTCCGTTTCATACTAATACGAATAGGGTCGAATATAACCTTCTATGGATTTAAGGCCGCACTGCTGTGCCGGTCTGGGGGGTGTTAGGTTTATTTTCGTTACGGTGTTACGAAATTTCTTGATTCGGTCACCGCTCAAAGCCCGCGATAAAAGCTATGCAATAGCTTAAAAAGTTGTTAAAAATTGCTCGAGAGATAGAATAATGTTAGAAATTTATCGAAAGATAAAATATTGTTTAAATATAGCTCAAGAGATAAAAAAGCTTTAAAAACTGTTCGAGAGATAAAATAGTATCATAAGTTATTAAAATTTTATTCAAAAATTACTTGAGAATTAAAAAAATACTGTTAAACATTTCTCGAGAGATAAAACATTTAAAAATTGTTAGAAAGATAAAAAATGTTAATAAAAATTGCTCGAGAGATAAAATAGTGTTAGAAATTATTAAAATTTTGCTCAAAAATAGCACGAGAGATCAAATATTGTTCAAAAATAGCTTGAAAGGTAAAAAAGCTGTTAAAAATTGCTCGAGTGATTAATTAGTGTTAAAAATTGTACAAAAAATTTTGTACAAACATTTCTCGAGGGATAAACAAAAGTTTTTAAAAATTGCTCGAGAGATAGAATACTGTTAGAAATTTGTTTAAATTTGTTTAAAAACTGTTCGAGAGATGAAATATCAAAAGGTGTTAAATCTTTTTTAAAAATTGCTAGAGAGATAAAATAGTGTTAGAAATTGTTAAAATTTTGCTCAAAAATTGCACGAGACATCAAATATTGTTCAAAAATAGCTTGAAAGGTAAAAAAAGGCTGGTAAAAATTGCTCGAGTGATTAAATAGTGTTAAAAATTGTACAAACATTGCTCGAGGGATAACAAAAAGTTGTTAAAAATTGCTCGAGAGTTAGAATACTGTTGGAAATTTATCGAGAGATAAAATATTTTTTAAAAATTGCTCAAGAGATAAAAAATGTTTTTTAAAAACTGTTCGAGAGATAAAATAATATCAAAAGGTATTAAAATCTTTTTAAAAAATTGCTAGAGAGATGAAATAGTGTTAGAAATTGTTAAAATTTTGCTCAAAAATTGCACGAGAGATCAAATATTGTTCAAAAATAACTTGAAAGGTGAAAAAGGCGGTTAAAATTTGCTCGAGTGATTAAATAGTGTTAAAAATTGTACAAAAAATATTGTACAAACATTGCTCGAGGGATAAAAAAAAGTTGTTAAAAATTGCTCGAGAGATAGAATACTGTTAAAATTTATCGAGAGATAAAATATTTTTTAAGAATAGCCCAAGAGATAAAAAAAGGTTTTTTAAAAACTGTTCGAGAGATAAAATAATATCAAAAGGTAATAAAATCTTTTTCAAAAATTGCTCGAGAGATAAATAGAAATTTTGCTCAAAAATTGCACGAGAGATCAAATATTGTTCAAAAATAGCTTGAAAGATAAAAAAACTGTTAAAAATTACTAGAGTGATAAATAGTGTTAAAAATTTTACAAAAAAATTTGTATAAACATTGCTCGAGGGATAAAAAAAAGTTGTTAAAAATTGCTCGAGAGATAGAATATTGTTAGAAATTTATCGAGAGATAAAATATTGTTTCAAAAGAGTCAAGAGATAAAAAAAGATTTAAAAACTGTTCGAGAGATAAAAGAGTATCAAAAGGTATTAAAATCTTATTCAAAAACTGCTCGAGAGATAAAATAATGTCAGAAATTTGTCGAGAGATAAAATATTGTTTAAAATTGTTGTGTTCGTGTTCTCTATAAACCTTTTCTTGCTCTTTAATGACCATACTTCATAATTAGAAAAATCTGGTAATTTTATAGAATCTAGTACATTTTTATGAAATCTGGTACATTTTTTAGATAAATCTGGTACATTACAAAAATATATTCTGGCAACACTGGTCATAACCATAGCTTAAAAGTTTTGAGGTTAGATACAAGTCAGTAGTGATAAATAAAAATACAAAACATACATATCTGTGGAGCGATTGAGAGAATATTTATAAATTATATACATATATCCCTCTAATATCTGTTGATAGATAGGTTACACACACCATAACTATAATAAATAAACACACTTTATCAGTGCTGCTTATTCTTTCTCCATGGGTTACACATTTACAACAGTAAAGGAAATAAAGAAGATAAAAACAGGTGAAGGAAAGAGTCAAAGATTGTCAATAAGCTTTTTATATTTATGTCAATATTTTTTTAGAATAATATAAAACTAAAATATGCCGAAAGGAGGTGTAGATGTTATCGTTAATGATATTCAGAACAATCCGCAATGCCCCCATGGTCCAACAATATTATTTTTAAAACAAATAAAAGGTGGAGAAATAAAAAAATATTTTTCATGCTCAGCTTGCAGAGATAAAAAAGAATGCAAGTTTTTTCTTTGGATGGATCAAAAAAATAACTATAATAAAGCCACTTGGGACCTGGAAATTATGAATTTTAAAAAAGGCATAAACCATAGACAAATGTTTATAAACTTGAATGAAATATTAGAAGCAAATACAAAAAAATGGTTTTGTAATACTTGTAATGAGTTATCTGTAGATGGTAAAAAACATAATTTTTCACATTTAGTGTTGAAAGGGTTGACTGTAGATGATTTGGAACGACCATCTGAAATATTACCACCTCTGAATGATTCCAAAAAAGAAGCACAGTACCATTTTTCAGAATCATCTGTTGAAGTAATCATTAGGATATTTAAACAATTACGCTATCAGTATGTTTCAATTAGTTTTTATATCTACATAAAATGTTTATATTTAAAATTTCAGATATGTAATATGCGTAGGTACTCCTAGAATTCATGAATATATCAAGAACAAATGTCCAAATTTAAGTAGTATACTCTTAGATATAGATAAGAGATTTCACAATTTTTTTGGTCCTTTGGAGTTCTGTTGGTACAACATGTTCAACAATCATTTTTTCTTTGATGAAGCCCAAGATGTTTTTGAAACATATCTTCAATCCAATAGGTTAGTATTGTGAAATTTTAAATTTAAGGTCACTGATCAGGGTTGGAAAAAACCTAGGAATTAAAAAATAGGCATGGATCGATATCGGATTCAGTTTATATGTAGAGTGCGATATCGGCCTATATTGATATCAAACTAATTTATGCCTTTTTTATATAAATTGTTTATTTAGTCAAAAACAACTATTTTTTACATGTCAATACATCTACACATTTAAAATAAAATAAAACATACATAAGTATAGGATCAACATACATTTAAAATACAGTAAAAGAACATAAGTATACAGAAGTACACTCACATGTCAACTATACAAAACATAATAAAAGAACATGAAAAAAAAAACATCAATTGGTCAGCAAGTACTTGTGCAGTTTTCTTTTAAATATTGCTGCGTTTGAAGAACATTTAATATCTTCAGGCAAATTATTAAAAGCCTGAACACCTTTAAAAAATAATGAATTTTGTGTACATTTTTTCGTGGCCTTATAAATTCCAAAATTTTTATTTTGTGTATTGTGTTCATGAACATCCTGATTATAACTTAAAATATTTTGTAAATATACTGGGGAGATTCCTGATTTAATCTTAAATATAAATAGCAGGGAATAGAACAGCAAATATTTTTTAACAGGCAACCACTGAAGCACATTTAACGTGGAATTGATTAGTTCGAAGCTTGAACAGTTCAGTATTATCCTCATACCTCTATTCTGCAAATTTTGCAATCGTTGCAATTCATTCTGGTTGAGCAAATACAATATAGTGACACAATAATTAAAATGAGGTAATTTATAGTATTATAAATTATAATTTTGGGAGATTTGCTGAGATGTGGAGAACAGCACTTCAAATAGTTTATTTTAAATGATATGCTTTTGATGATGTTATTAGCATGTTCCTTAAATTGTAAATTTGTATCAACTATAACCCCTAGATATTTAAATTTTTCGATTTTCTGTAACTTTTATTAACAGAAACACACTGCGATTCGTCGGGTTATCGTAGAGGATATACTTGATAGTCTCATCTTCTTGTTCGCATCCCCTGCAGAGTGCGGATTCTGCCAGCCCCATGATATGGAGATGCTTCCGTAGTTGGCAATGTCCAGTCAGAATGCCTGTGATCAGGTGCAGATTTCTGTCTAGTCATAGTTAAGTATTTGTTTGGTATAGTTTTGTGAGGATAACTTAAAAGCTCCCTGGCAAGTCTACGGCTTTTTTTTCACAAGGGAATGCTCCGAGGGGCGAACCACTCTTTGTAAAAATGTACATGTATTGCCGAATTCATATGATTTCCGCAATCATATGGCGATTTCTGGATGACTGCAGTGATTTCCACATGACTTCGACAGATTTCTAGTTACTGCGATGATTTCCATATAATTTCGATAGATTTATTGGGACTGCAACGATTTTTGTATTGATTGCGGCGATTTCCGTATGGAATGCCAGTATTTTTGCAAAACTGCAGGAACTTCCACGACTTTGTATGGCTTTGCAGTTGGTTTCAAGTAAAAAAAAAACAGCGGCATGGGTATTAGGTATTTCAAAAAAAAAAAACTATTTTGTATACGACATGTATGGGTCATACAAGAAAAAAAAAACTAAATTTGGTATAAGACGTGAAGAAAACGTAAAAACAGGATGGCACATATTTAAAATAACATTTTTAATTGGACTTTTAAAATGTTACAAGGGACCGGGTCTAAAAATATTTGGTTTGCTTCCTTCTTGACAAGTGAATCAGCAAGATAATTAACTTTCGATGTGGTATGACCTTTGATTCATTTTAAGTTGACCATATTGTTGATGGATACTTGGGCCAAAGCTTCGTGACATTATTTTTTTCAGGTGTCTTGGAAGGTGACTTGCATTCACATGAATTTTATTTCTTTGATAATCTGTCCATGACATATTGCTATAAATAATACATACTAATAATATTCTTAAAAATTAATTGTAAATGGAGCAATAACTATTAATGGCATTTTAGAGGCAAAGGAATGGTACTTATTACAGATCCACCATTTGGGGGAAGAACAGAAATTCTTTCAGCTACGTTTAATAGAATAAATGAATCTTATAAAAAGTTAAATGACATTAAAACTGACTTACCAATGTTTTGGATATATCCTTACTTCATGGAACCACAAATTGTCAATGTCATGCCAAACTTTACTATGTTAGATTACAAGATAGAATACGATAATCATCGGTCATTTCAAAACAGTCCTAAGGGAAGAAAACATGGATCTCCTATTAGATTATTTACAAATTTAAAACCCAGGTATGTATAAATATATTATGGGGTCTATTCTGTAAAAATTTGGTTAATTTATTTTTAATTCTTTATTTGTTCAAAATTGCTTGCCAAATATATTCTTTTTTTTTATTTTTGCGTTGGGTTTAATATAAATGCACTTTTACGTATAGTACATCGTTGCCATGTCTATTTTAACCGGAGCTGGTTATACAATAACTAATAACAAAAAGTTAAAATTTAAACGGCATAGTTATATATAACCTTTTAACCTGACAGTTCAAATTAACTAAAACGTTACAGACTAGGCCCCTATATCACTTATTTAATTCAATATTCTCTTTTTTAGTTTAATAGAATTACCTTCAAAAGACTATAAATACTGTGATATGTGTGAACGGTGGGTTTCAAAAGAAAATAGACACTGTGGTATGTGTCACGCATGTACATCAAAAAATGGAGAAACTTACACTCATTGCTATGTGTGTATGAGATGTGTGAAACCATCATGGAAACATTGTCAAACTTGCAACAGATGTGCACAAGTTGATCACACTTGCAAAACACTTGCTTTTATAAAGGTAAATTTCTAATTCCAATTAGATTAATTTAGACTCATCACTTCTTTGGTAAAAAAAATACAGAATACCTTCAACATTATTCATATATTATTTTTAATCTACAAAAGACGATACCTTAATCAAAAATTTTGCTGTACCCTTTGATGTTCCAACCAGAGACAGAACTTTCACATGCCCAAAACCTATGAAATTGTGATATAAAGTTTTACTTCTCCATTAAATCTAAATGCTTATTTCTATAATGTTGCATAGTTTTTGAGGTATTTGTTGTATTATTTTAAAACTCACGAGAATCTTGTATCCCAAATTGATATTCCCAACATTTTTAGTCTACATGCCACGTTTTTGACGTCCATGCTGAAATTAGGACGTCCTTGCTCAAATTTGGACGTCCTTGCTCAAATTTGGACGTCCATGATGAAATTAGGACGTCTTATAAATTGGAATGTATGATTTAATTTCCAAACCGAAATAGTAGTAAAAATAAATAAAAAAAAGAAACATATCCAAGTTGACACGCAAAAGTAGAAAAATTACACTCACAGTTGAGAATTTAATGGGCTATTACAAAAGCCTTTTAATTAATTTGTTATAGGCTTTTTAAATCAAAAACCGTTGCATGCTATCAATGATGTTACTCTTTTGTCATAGTACTACCAACTAATTAAAATTTCCCTATCCTAATAATCCAAAACATAGTCGGAGAGGCTAGCCCAGTGATTAGTGTGCATTTACGTTCTCGCGGCAGTTAAGCCATGATATCCCTGGTCACATCGTGGATCGATGAACTTCTTAATAATTTTTGTTCAATCTACATCTTATTATCAACGTTTTTAAATCAGCATATTATGAAAGTAATTGAATTGATTACATACTTCATCAACACATTTTAAACATGTCGTGAATGAACCAAAGGCTACATACATAATAGAAAAGTTTAAAAAGAAATCGGCTAAGTATTACATACAATTTCTACTTTCCTATCTGTATACAGATATAAGGAAAGTATAGGAATCATGATTTTTTTCGACCTCGAGTTTTCGACGGATTTTTACGTTTTGAGGTCCCCTGAATCCGTTTTGACTATTTTCGCGATGATGTCTGTCTGTGTGTGTGTGTGTCTGTATAACGCATAACTCATGAACCGATACACAAAAAAACACCAAATTTTAAACTTAAGCTTTGTTTCAGCGTCCAATGAGCTGATTAGATTTTGGGCAGAGTCGGAACATCTGGGGGGGGTACTTTATAGGTGGTCATTTTTATATTTTATGGAATATATCTGTTATTTACGTTTGGAGAATAAAATTCTTCAAATAAAAGTTACTTCTTATATAATTATCTATAATTTTTGTTTTATGCAAAATTTTCCTAAAATGGTCCGTATTCGAGAAATTTGACAAAATGTAAAAAAAATAATTTTTTATAAAAATTGTTCAAATAAAAGTTGTTTGTAATATAATTCTCTATAATTTTTATCCTATAAATAATTTCTCTAAAATGGACCGTATTCGAGATATTTGAGAAAATGTGTAAATTTCGAATTTTGAATAAAACTCAAAAACGGATAAAGGAAAAAACATTAAATTTTAAACTTAAGTTTTATTTCGACCTGAGGTGAACTGATTAGATTTTGGACAGAGTCGGAACATTTGGGGGGGTACTTTATTGGTGGTCATTTTTATATTTTATGGAATATATTCGTTATTTACGTTTGGGGAAGAAAATTCTTTAAATAAAAGTTACTTACAATATTATTATCTATAATTTTTGTTCTATGTCAAATTTTCCTGAAATGGTCCGTATTCGAGAAATTTGACAAAATGTGCAAAATTCTGATTTTTAAGAAAATTGGTAATCTAAAAGTTGTTTGCGATATCGATCTCTATAATTTTTGTTTTTAAATGACTTTTCTAAAATGGACCGTAATGGAAAAATTGGAGGAAAAGTGCTAAATTAAAATTTTTTAGTATTTTCGTTTTCAATGAATATCTATAGAAAAATGTTTCGAGGTAGATGTATGTGGAAAATGTATATATTTAGTTTATCCTCTAAACATTTTTAGAGATGCTGCAATAGGTTAACTAGATAGGAAAGTCATGTGTTGGACACATCAGATTTTTTTTCTTATTCACACTGTCTGATCTTCAAAAACAATGAGTAAATTAAACCATGTTTCCTTATTCTGCAGTTCTTTAGTTTTTGTTAAAATGCATTGTGGTGAGTATAATTTGCAATAAAACGAGTACAATATTTCGAAAAAAACGAAAACATAATTTTAAAAATCCGGTCTTGGTGGGGATCGAATCCACGTTCTTTGGTTTACTATAAACAATCTTGTAACCACTAGACCTTACGCATTCTCAAAATCTAGTAATTAATTTAAAGTATATGTGTATCTACAGAGTGACCCATTTGAAAGAAGGCCACCTTCAAATTTTTTATGGAGCGATTGACAATTTTTTTTTGAAATATGAAGGGGGAAAGGTGTATTTTGAAGCCAAGCGGCTAATTTTTTTATAACCAAGTCCTATTTATGTGTATCGTTTTTTTAGCATCAAGCTAATATAAATATAACAATGCAGTAGTCTTAATCTAGGTTAAAAAAAAAAAAAAATTTAAAAATTACAATAAAAATTTTAAACCATATACATTAAAATATACAAATAACAACAACAGCAGAATGAATAAAACAAAATGTATTAGCAGGTTCCTACAATACTTCTTTTGTTTTTCTAACATGTACCCTTTTAATTTCCTCTTAAATATATTAAGCGAAGTAGCATTCTTAATTTCCTCCGGCAGTTCATTAAAGGCTTGAATTCCTTTAATGAAAACTGTGTTACTTGAATTGACACTACTAGCCTGACGTATATGAAAGTTAGTGCGGCTTCTTGTATTGTATTCATGAAATTCAAAATTGTATTTTAATTTGTCACGTAAATATACAGGAACATCACCAGTTTTTATTTTAAAAATAAATATTAATGTTAGATAAAGAAAGTGATTTTTAACAGATAACCATTTTAATGTATTTAACATTAATGTTATATGTGTTTTTCTATCACAAGATAATATTACTCTCATTCCTCTATTCTGAAGTCTTCCAATTTTATTTTGGTTTAGTAAATACAAGATGGTTCCACAATAAGTGGAATGAGGTAAAATCAAGTTGTTGTATAAAAGTAAAAGCGACCATTGATTTAGATTACTTATCAATAATGGATCTTATCGGTTTTTTAATTTTTCTCCGTTTTTTGCAGTTTGACCCCCAATTTTGACTTCAGATTCGTGTTCAGCGGTAAAAAATACGTCGGAAAATCTTTGTCGAACACCCAGCACAGACCACTTTTTTTTTGTGGACCTGTGTAATTAACCAAAACCATAATGGATTGGAAAATTGGGAACCTCCAAGTTGGTATCTTACGCTAACCAACGCTAGTAGGAAAAACCCAAAAAGGCCTCGCATTCTACCTGACCTGGCAGATATTGACGTCCCTCAATCAACGATGAATCGATTTTTATCAAAATTTGTCTTAGTAATGAAAGTTAAATAAGCCATAGGGCTAACTTTGATTGAAATTACCTTAAAAGTATGAATAAAAGATGTTTAATGTAATCATTTTAAAACGCTATAAGTAATTTAGTCATACAATCGTCAATGTTGAATATTTTTTCATAAAACTTTATTTATTTTAGAGGACGCCGATTAAAGTGGCGTACGCGAATTTTTTCTAAAAAAATCGCTAATATGGATTCTACATTTTTCAGCCTCTGAATGTGATCTAGTAGGCCTTGGTTTTTTAAAAAAACTGGACGCTGCTTAGCTCCAAAATACACTTTCGCCACTCCATATTTAAAAAAAAAAAATTCGTCGAAATCGCTCCATAAATAAAACATTTATGATGATGGGCCGCTTTCAAATGGGTCACTCTGTATGTATACCTACTCCATAAATTCCATATGGTAGTCTCGAAAATAGCCCAAGTCCATTCGCTTTCTTTATTGTTTAAATGTAAAATGAATTAAACAAAAAGTTACTAGATTTTAGCACGTTGTAGATTAATTATTAAGTCTATTTCCTTGCATGGAAAGTGTAGCACTAAGTTACACAACTTCTAAAATTATCGTTACATCCATACAATTTGTATAAATGGAACGATATTTTCAGAAGTGGCGTAGGTCAGTGCTATACTTTCGATGCAACGGAAAAGATCTATTGTCAGGTGGCAGTTATCAAAATAATTTTGAATTTGTCAATTTGTTAAAAAATTGTACACAGATCAGGGACATAAAGATAGGAAACGCAACGACTGCTGCTACTATGGCGTCATCTATGCGTCTCAGATGTTGACTAAAGGTACACGTCGTTTGTAGAGAGCAGTAGACGTGGACAGCAGTGGATAGTATGAAGACTAGAGATAAGGAGGCGAATCGGCATGCTCAAAATACGGTCCCAAAAATCACACGTCAATTGAGCTTTTATAATTAACCGCATGGGCGCTGGTACGGTTTACGTAGTTCAAAATACATGGCTTATGGGAATTATACATAATTTTGTCAAAATAATAAAGATACTTGTTTATAGCTAACTAAAGCACATAACATAGTGTTGTATTTATTTATAAATAAGTCTTACATATTTTAATTGATACATTATTTACTATTTATTCCTATTTAAGTAAAATGCAAATTATTGATGAAATTTGATGGGTAGAGCTAATTATTTTTAATTAAAGCTAAATAGGGCGGAGGGCATACTAAGACACGGTTTAAATGAAAATATTTAGTTAGGGATTTTATAAAATTTTATGAAAATAATAAAAATCAAATTGTTTATTGCAAACTAAAGCACAGAAAATACTGTTGATTATAATAATTGTAAATAAGTCTTTGTTTTAATTGCTAACTAAAGTACAGAAAATACTGTTGGTATTAATTATAAATGAGTCTTTAAACATTATTTACTATTCATTATTTAATTTTATCTAAATAAAATG